ATAATCCTAATCCAATCTTACATACCATCACCACTTATTCATGCTCCAAAATAGATGTAACAAGCCAACTTGACAACGTACGTAAGATCTTGTAATATCTAAAACAACAATAAAATCTAAGACATTTTGAATTTGACAAGTTATACAAATGTAACACAAGTAAGTTCATTTGAAAGTTCATTTGAAAACTCTTTCCCCAAAACACATTGAATACTCGTTTGAATATCACATATATTTTGAATTCAAGTTTAATCTAAATTGTTTAATCTAGCTTGTGTGCAATTGTAAATGTTTGACGTATTCAATATGATTGTAATTTGATCTACAAAATTTGTTTCATGCATCATTCAAATCCTTAAGCCTAGTTCGTGAGTGAGCAAGAAGGTGATCATTAATTTTACCTTAATAGCCAAGATTTGTATCTAGACTTGGTTTTAGCGTCATTTTTCACACTAGTAAGGATCAAAATATGTTGTAAGCCATGTTTAAACGGAACACAATCATACTAATCGATATGTTTTTTCCTTTTTTTTTAGAGTAGTAAAATAAATTGCATTCATAATTCAGGCTTAAAGGTTATAAGCCACAATGGTCACATAGGGTTAATATAAATATCGAAACATAGTACCCACAGAGAAGTCCATTGACAGTAGCAACACAAGGTGCACCTCTACCTACACATGCCAAAAAAATTATGGCATAAAAGCCACAAGCTTAGAAAAACCAAGCAAAGGCCTTAACCCACAAAACTACAACCTTCAAACTCTCACAAGTAAAACCTACAAGTAGAGACAAAAGAGTTGATGCACTTATTACAGCTGAAGAAACTGCAACACACAAACAAGAAAATAAAAGCCGATTTGCCACTACGTCATCCCAAGAAAGCAAAACCAGACAACAAACTCAGCCAAAACGACTAAGCACCAAAATCTAGCCTAAAGTTTGTAAAACCCACAAGGATGCGAGGGGCAGAGGGGGGAAAGGGTGGAGAGGAGGGGAAGATCTGGGAGGGGAGGAGTAGAGGGATGAAGGCCATCGACTGAAACGTTTCTCACATTAAGGTTTTCTTTTTTGGTGTTTGTTCTCAAAATCATTTTTTTAAATGGCTTTGTTTACACACAAAAAAAATGTTTACTTTGGGCTGAATTGGAGCAACAACCCCTTTACTTGTAGATGATTTACACTTTTGTCATCCAACTCAATTTTTCGTTCATTTAGTCTTTAAACTTGACTCTAAAATAAAGATAAAGAAATTTATAAATCTAATGATAGTACCATACGCGGAACACTATGCAAATTTTGTTATCTATTTAGGAGCAAAATGGTCATTTTAGGTCATTTTTGCTTCCCATTATTCTGATCTATTCTTTCCTCTAAATTGGTTGCTAATCCTACGCAATTCGAGCGCTACTCAAATTAACTTATGTTCAAGCCCTGAAAAGTCAATGCATATACAACCGAACTCGAATTAGTCAATTGCCTCACACTACTCACTTTTTTTTTCTCTCCAAATATTTGAAACCCTAATTGGTTTGTACAGATTCAGTGACCACTACTCTAGTTAAACCTTTACGTTATGTTAAAATCACTAGTCTCAAATATTGTTGTAATGGAAGATCCACAAATATTCCACTTCGAAAATGAATTTGATTTCATATTTAATTTAGTCAATCTCACTCAGCCGAATTCCTCAATGACAATCATTTTCCCACTTGTTTGTCTTGGTACACTCAGAAAAAATGATTATCTTGGTGCGAAATTTATGACATACCGTCTTTTTTGTTTCTAGAATAAATTTGTGAAGGAAAATATTTGAAACAAATACAAAAAGTGATCTTGGGATAAAAGAAAAAAAGGACAGAAATGATGGTGGGTTAGAATTTGACTTGAAAAGGATGGCGTCCTAGGAGTCAATGGAGAGCTTGAACCCACGGTCACGGCACACCACGCATGACCACTCGGGTGTCTGCGTGTGCGTTTCACATATCTTTTCTTGACTCCAGAAACTACGGCGTTTTGGGTCTTATTCCAATGTGGGTCCCCGGGGTAATAATAGCTTACCTGTGGCCACATCATCAGTGGGTCCCCTCCTAACTGCTTTCACCGGCCTGCCGAGGAGCCTAGGTAACCTGCTTCTCAGTTCTTTTTCATTGTTTACAACCCCTCCAATAATCCTCCGTCACGTCATGTTGTGTCTTTGTTGACTATCTGGCTTAGTCAAAATAACAGCAGTTGTTCAGTTTGTGCGGAGAAAGAAAAACGAACCAAGGAGTTGTTTCTTGACCCAAAAGAAAACGAAGAAAGTCGTTGGACAAAAACGTTAAGAAGAAATATGTTAGGAGTGTATAAGAAAATTGATGTTTTGTTCCGAAGGCTTTGGGGTTTGCACTGAAAACTAATTCCATGGTAACATTTTCATTGCGAGCTTTCCATAATCTCCATCACAAACCAAAAACCACCCTTGCTTCATAATATTTCACCAAGAAAAGAATTCACAACATGCTTGAAAATGATCAGCCACCACACTTCTTGTGTCAAGTTGAAGCGGGCTCGCAAACCAAAAGGCACACGCAAATTCCAAAAAAGAAGAACACTATAGAGGAAGCCGGGCGATGACGGAGGGGAATTTTCCGGCTGAGAGGAGGACGTTGGAACTTGAAAGGGAATGAAGTGAGGAGCAGAACAGTAGTGGGAGGGTGGTGTGATAGTTTTCTTCTTTTGTTTGTTTGAGGGGTTAGATTTTGTAAGTTACAATACAAGTTTTCTTCTTATGTGAATCTTAGCATCCCTTAAAATTATTATGTGCAAGTCCATCATTATTATTCCTCATGTTAGTTTACCTACAATTCATCAAATGACAGTGGTTCTTATTTAATAAGAAATTCCCACTTGTCACCTTTATTCCATCTAAGTCTAAAATTTTTATGGTCAAAATTGTTGCCTTCCAAATCAAAATTGGATGACTACTAAGGACTAGCACATTCTAAATTGCACTGTGACACAAGAATAAAAAATAGGAAAGAAGAAAAGAAGGGGCTTGATGCTGGTTGGTGGAGTTGTAAAAAAATTAGGAAATGATTGGATTTTAGGAGATTACAAGGCTTTGCAAGTTGCTGCGAAGTGGCATATGACTTTACGGCCATAGGGGCCAAGCAAGTTGTTTCAACTTTACTTTGTCCTCATTAACACTTCGATGATATAATTACTTCATATAGTGGCTAAAAACTGACTAATTCTTGCACACTTGGGAACATGCCAATTATGAAAATATTAAGTTCATTTTCCAACGAATTTACCCTGCAAACCATTCTTATTGCTTGATTTGCAGAAAACAAATCATGTTTCAATGATTCATATATTGTCATCAATGTTTTGAAAAACTAGGCGTAGATACAAGGCGTTTTTGATCTCGCAAGACGAGCAGTAAGCCTTGTAGTGTTGATGCATAAGCCTTTTGAGGCATGAATTATTTTTATAAAGAACATTGATAAATAATACAATATAATTAAATTGAACCATTAATTTCCATTGAAGCTTACTAATCAATCAAATATAATCAAATATAAGTCATAATTATAATAGTCAATCTTAAAACTCAACTGGTCAATCAATTGAGAGGGAGGCTGGTTCCTAAATTTGAGAGGAAGGTTAGAACTGGATAGATATGCAGCTAATAAGAGCGAATTTGGGGTTTAGGTCTGTTTGATTGTATTAGGTAGGAGTGAGAAATTGATTTGTTAAGCCAAATAATAACTTTTGGAAAAAACAAAAGCAAAAAAGTTTAAAACAACATCCAAAATGCACAGCTTCATTAAAACCCAAAGGTAACCTCAACAACCCAAACGACGTCGTCTGAAGAAATAGAACGAGGGCTCAGTGTGTCACCTTCTTCCTCGCGTAGCTCGTTATCTTCTTTCTCGTGTAGCTTATGCCTCACATGTTGACGTGACTTGTGGACTATTGACTTACTTTCCTTACACACCAATAATTCATATTATAATTGTAACTGATTTACTTTAATTCATGATTTCCTACTATAAATAGAAATATGAATTTATTATTTACTTGGCCACTCAAGCTCCGTTGTATTATAAATATTACCTCATATAAGGAGAGGAATATACAGAAAATTCTCACAAACAAATATTATCTCATAGTCCTAATATTTTAGCAGGGTATCAGAGCGGCGATCTTGGGATTGCTGACTCTAGTTTCTAAACCCTAACCGTCACCATGGGGGAGGATGACTTTTTAATTCTTATGGTAGTAGCACCACTACTTCCTCCTATTCTTCTCAACCAACCATAGCCAAGTTGAGTGCCCATATGGCTCAACTCCTAAAGATGCAGATTCAGACCTCGAACCCGATCCTAAATCAGGATCCTACCCAAATGACCCTGAAATCTACTTAGACGACGACCTTGAACCAGGCTCAGACGATGATCCCGAAGATAATTACCTATGAAGCTTTCGCTACACAAATCGGCATCAAGTTGGATGACACCAACTATGCCATATGGTCCCAAATTGTCAAGATGTATATCTTCGGCAAAGACAAATTGGGCTATATTGATGACAATCTTCCACAACCTCCTCCGACCGCTCCAACGTTTCCCCACTAGAGCACCGAGAACTCTATCGTGAAGGGATGGTTCATCAATTCTCTAGAGTAGAGCTTGATTGACAATTTCATTCACTTTTCAACGGCAAAAGCAATGTGGGATGCAATTGCCACGACCTACTATGATGGCATTGACACCTCTCAGGTGTACGATCTGAAACGATGAGTTTCCCGTATGCGACAAGCTAGTGGCTCCATTGAAACCTATTACAATACTCTCTAAAGTTTTTGGAGGGAGATTGATTTCTGTCATCCAAATATGATGGAGTATGAAAGTGATATCCAGCGCTATAATTATATTCAGGAGGAAGATCCAGTTTACATATTTTGGGATGGCCTTGATGATCATCTAGATAAGGCTTGAAGCGATGTTCTTCACATGACTTTGTTCCCCACAGTGGACCAAGCATATGCCTATGTCCGCCGTGAAGAGGTTCGACAAGCTATGATGATAGGTTCATCCGCATCCATTGACACTAGCTTAGCGGCCAAGAGTGCGCCTCGATCAGGGCCACCTGGTCATGCATGACAACCCTAGAATTCCTCTACTGCAACCTACCTTCAAATCCAGTCATATGTTACTGCTGTTGGCGCGCCACCTCCTAAAACCATCCCACCTTCCTATCTTAAGGCTTCGACTAATGAAAGTAGTTGCACTCAATATGGCAACCCTAAACATACCCACGACACCTTATTTAAGTTGAATGGTTATCCTAACTAGCGGGGGTCCTCTGTACTCACAAGCTCAGAGAAATTGCTAGTAGTTCCGGCCATGCTGCTATTGTCTCTACTGAACCCCAGTTAGCCTTGTTTCCGTAGGTAGACCCTACTAATAGCCTCGCGCCTCCTGATGACTCAGGTAACTGCGGTTATGTATTTCATACTTCTAATCTACGAGACACTATTGGTTCGATAATTGATTCTGGCGCCATTGGTCATATGACTTTTGATCCGAATGATTTTTTACACATCACTCCACCCTGATGCACAAGTATTGCCAATGCTAATGGAGTTACCTATTCTGTGACAGGGGCTGGCACTGTTGCCCTTTCACATTCTCTGTCCCTTTCTAATACTCAACTAGTTCCATCTTTGTTCAATAAATTAATGTTTGTTAGCCAGACAACTGAGCAACTAAATTGTTGTACACTAATTTATCCCAATTTTTGTTTACTATAGGATATTCTCACCAATGAGATCATTGGACGTGGTACTAAAAGAAAGAGGTTGTACTATGTGGATGACTTCAGTATGAGACGTGCCAACAGTGTGAAGCATTCGTATGATGACAAGAACTGACAGATTTGGCTTTGGCGGGGCATCCATATTTTGGTTATATGAGACACTTATTACCCAAGTTATTTTTTGTATTTAAGGACTCATATTTTAAATGTGACACTTGCATTTTATCCAAGATTCACCGAGCATCTTATCTTTTAAGTGCGAAAAAAAGTACTGTTCCTTTTGCTTGAATTCATTCTGATGTTTGGGGACCTTCATATATTTCTACTATTTCGATATTCGTTGGTTTGTCACATTCGTTGATGATTATAAAAGGATGACATGGATTTATTTGATGAAAAACAAGAATGAAGTGTTTTCCATGTTCTAATTCTTTCATAAACAGATGGAAACACAGTTCAATGCTCGAATATAGATTCTTCGCTATGACAATGGTGGAGAATTTGCTAATCATGACTTTCATACTTACTCCTAGATACATGACATTATTCATGAGACAACTTGCCCCCACACACCACAACAAAATGGTGTTGCCGAACGAAAGAATCGACATCTCCTTGAAATGGCCCACGCTTCTCTCATTGGTGGCCATGTTCTTTGTCATCACTGGGATGATGCTGCCGTCACTGCCATCCACCTTATCAATCGCATGCCTTCTGGGGTTTTGAATTTCAAAACTCCATTACAAGTGCTTGCGTAACACGGGCCTTTGCCCTATGTTTTGGTACTGACCCCTCACATTTTTGGATGTGTGGCCTTCGTTCTCTTCCACAAAAATCAACGAAGCAAACTTGATCCTTGTGCGCTTCGTTGTGTTTTTTAGGTTATGCCACTTATCAGAAAGGCTACCAATGTTATCACCACCTACCCGGCGTATCTATGTCATTTTGAATGTCACCTTTCTGGAATCGGAGATGTTCTTCCATGACTCAATATCCAATTCTACTCTTCAGGGGGAGATACAGAGTGAAGAGCACAATTGGAGCAACTTGGAAAACGAAGACATTCACCTATGTACAGAAGTGATCGATTGTCTTGAGGTTTGGAGCACGAGATTGCTCTCGACCAAGAAACGATCGATCCCCCAAACTCGACGATTGATCGTCTCGAGTATAGCACGCATGAATGCTCCCTGCCAAAAAGCGATTAATTGCCCATGCACAACGATCGATTGCCTTACCTTTGCAAAGCTATTTTTGATTTGAGTCCTACTACTACAAACAACTTAGAACAACAAGATGAAGACCCCACCTCTCACTCAACAGTACCAACATACCAATCTCCTAAGAATATCTTTGAGGTAACTATTCCAACTAGACTTGTGCATTTAGAGGATAAATATATTGGATATCAATTACCTTATAGGCAAAATCATGGAAAACCACCAAACTGTTATTCACCTGATATTGGCAAGACATCCAAGTATTCAATTGCAAATCATGTATTCATTGAGAAACTGTTTGAACCACTCAAGGATTTTGTGCATTAGTTGTCTGCTATCAATATTCCAACCAAGGTTTCTGAAGCATTGAAAGATCCTAAGTGGGTCCAAGCTATAAAAGAGAAGATGAAAGCTCTTCAGAAAAATCCGACTTGGACAATGGAGACTAAACCATGAGAAAAAAAAAATTTGTCAGATGTAGATGAGTGTTTACTATAAAATAAAATGCTGATGGATCTATCGAGCGATTCAAAGCAAGACTTGTGGCAAAAGGGTACACACAGATCTATGGTATAGATTATGAAGAAACCTTTGCACCAATTGCAAAGTTGAACACCATCAAAGTCTTATTGTCCCTTACAGCTAATTTGGATTGGCCACTACATCAGTTTGATGTAAAGAATGTTTTCTTGCATGGAAAACTCACGGAGAAGGTGTATATGGATATTCTTCCTGGATATAATACTACTCAAACTGGAACAATATGTAGGTTACAAAAGGCATTGTATGGATTGAAACAGTCACCACGCACATGGTTTGGACGGTTCACCATGACAATGAAGAACAATGATTTCAAATAAAGTAACTCATATCATACTCTTTTCTTATAACATTAGAAATGGAAGGTAACAACGTTAATAATCTATGTTGATGACATGATTATTACTGGGAATGATAAACATGAAATATCTTAGCTACAAGACTATTTGCCTACTTCGTTTGAGATAAAGGATCTAGGTAGACTCAAGTATTTCTTGGGGATTGAGGTGGCTCGATCTCAACAAGGTATATTTCTCTCTCAAAGGAAATATGTTTTGGACTTGTTGACAGACACATGAATGCTAAATTGCAAACCTATGGACACTCCTATTGTTCAGAATCATCATCTTGGAGAATACCAAAATCAAGTTTCAACTAACAAAGAAAGATACCAAAGCTTAGTGGGAATATTGATCTATTTGTCACATACTCAACCAAACATTGCTTATGCGGTGAGCGTTGTCAGTCAATTTATGTATTCTCTAAATGAAGACCACATGAATACAGTTCTTCGGATACTTAGCTATTTGAAGTCTGCATCTGGAAAAGGACTTATGTTCTCAAAACATGGTCATCTGAATATTGATGGTTATTCATATGTAGATTGGGCATATAGTGTAACAAATAGAAAATCCACATTGGGTTACTTCATATTCGTGGGAGGTAATTTGGTGACATGGAAGAGCAAGAAACAGAATGTAGTAGCTTTATCCAGTGTATAAGCAGAGTTCAGAGGCATGACTAAGGGATTTGTGAGCTCAGTTGGTTAAGGAAGTTGCTTACTGAACTTGGGTATAAACCTACATCCACAATGAATCTCTTTTGTGACAACAAGGCTTCTATAGCTATTGCACACAATCCGGTTCAACATGATCGCACTGAACATGTTGAGGTGAATCGACACTTTATCCAACACAAGCTTGAGGCTAAAGTGATTCAGTTTCCTTTCATGAAATTCGAGGATCAATTGACAGATACTTTGACAAAGGCAATTTCCAGTAGAGCGTTCCACAATTCACTGGATCAGTTGGACATTGGTGACTTGTGGACCATTGACGTACTTTCCTTACACACCAAGGATTCCTATTATAATTGTAATTGATTTACTTTAATTCCTAATTTCCTACTATAAATAAGAATATGAATTTATTATTTACTTGGCCACTAAATCTCTGTTGTATTATAAATATGACTTCCTACAAGGAGATGAATATATAGAAAATTTCCACAAACAAATATTCTCTCATAGTTATCATATTTTAGCATCATATGACAAAGTGCACACCTTCCTATGCCTCGCCGTCGACGCACACGCTAAGCGTGCAAACAACTAAACAAGGGAACACCTGAGGCGATTTTCTCCTGCCTCACTCCGAGGCGCGCCTACGCATGCCTTTGAAAACACTGATTGTCACAAAGATGATGAAACTTGGAAGCCCATAATTTTGGAGTCTATTAGCCAAATTTGTAAATGATACTACTTGCCTCCTTACCGATAAAGAGATACTCCTCCTTTCTGTCAATCATACTTTGACACAGATACAAAAATAATTCCTAAAAAACATAAAAAGAAAAACTTATGCACAATATCACACTGCTATTGGGAGGAATGTAGGAGTTCCTACTTACCTAATAAGGAGAGAAATATTTTCCATTTATAAAAAATGGATTGAATTGTATTTAGAAGTAAATAAGTAACATAATTGTAAGGCCTCTCTCTCTAAGGAGGATATCTTTGTTGTTCTTTCACCTTATTTGGCACTATCTTTTGTATAGTTTTAAACATAGGTCAACCAAATGAAGGGCGATGAAGCCTTATCAACCCCCACTAAACTGAAAAGCAGTTGACTAACAGCAACATGCAAACCTCCTCCTCTTCTTGTTTGTGTTTATAGTAGAAATAGACTTAGATGTGGAAAAAAGGAGATCTACTTTGAAACCAGCCACAGTAACCGTGGTTAATAGATGGTTTTCCGACATTTAAAATTGACGACGTTCTCTGTGGTTGTCAGATATATATTTGTTACTGACACAAACTTAATTGGCCATACACGTACTGTGTCTAATTACCACTGGATGGCCGTGACTAGTAACAGATGTACAAATCCTCTTCTAGGTTTGGTTTGCAAAAGAATAATCGCCTTGGAGAAATCCAATTTGCATAGCTTCCACTCAACCACAAAAGCACTGCAAAGTTCATTTTCATTCAAAAGAAAGTGAGAGGAAATTTAAGGCCAAGACGGAATGCAAGAAATAAATAAAAACATATAAGTTGTCTTCCAACGTGTGAAAGAGAGAAAATATCAATGGAAATGCGTAGTGCCAATCATTGCAAGAAGCACCATGAACAATGACTAATGAATGATTATCATGATTTGCTTCTTCTCCTTTCTGTGAGGTTTTGTAGTGAAGCCTTCCCCCTGTCACAATCACTTGTGCTTTTAACTTCAAAATTAGGTGGCCAAAACTTAAACGAATATGCCTTGATAATGACTGTAAAGTGAGTCATCAAAATTGTTGATGTATAATTGTTTCTTTCTCATCAATGCTAGGTCACATAGAGCCACGGTAACTTCGTTATTTACTCATTTACTTTGTGCTTGGATAGATTGCAAAATCGGCCCTTTTTGTGTGTGGATAGAAGTGTTGAAAGGAAAAATAGAATCTAAGACCCCGGATGCAGACATGAGTAAACAAGTCCCTTACGCAAGATTGACCCTTAAAGTGTACTCATAACACGATTAACTAGAAAATGCCGTGATATCATCAAAAGTTATAAAAAGGATAAGAGTTGATGACCCTTTTAACCTTAATAGTGCTTGAGGCCTTTTGATATAGGTCCAATTTCTATCTGACTATGTGGCCTTGTAAACAGTCGCGTGATCGTTAAATGATTTACTGTCATTTCATAAATAAATAAAAAAATACAAAAAAATCCCTCAACTTGTCTCTTTTCTTCATGCACATGTATATTACTAGTTCAACGTGACTTACTAACTTGCATGTCATATACATTTTCTCACAAGATTAAAAATTATGAGTTATGAACAATAAAATTGTGTGAATGATATGAAACACCAATTTCTTTTTACTTTAATAAAAAAATGTTTTTAGTAAATGAAATCATTTGTTAAACTGAAACCTTGAGGTCCATCATGTGATACCCAAATCTTGATTTAATTGTCGTACATTCATAAGAGGAAATTGAGAGAGATGTTGTTGAAACATAATGTACTAATCTGGCCAAATTATTAGTTACGGCCGTTTAATAAGTTTTTCGTTTTTATTTTTTGTACTAGAGTATAGAGAAACATGAGAGTGAGAATGACAATTTGAATGAGAGGGGAGGATGGGAGGGAGGAGTAACAAAAGTGAAAAAAAAACTTGCAAGTGAAAATAATTTCAAATAGTTTCAATGTTTAGTTTTTGTTTTCACTTTTATTATTCCTCCCTCCTATACTCCCCTCTCAGCTTTCCTCTCAATCCTATCAACTCTCATTCTCACTTTCATTCTCCATCTTTTTCCTCTAATGAAAACTAAAAACTAAAAATGAAATGGTCATCAAACGGGCCTTACATAATTTAGTTTCCTAAATGGGACTTTATCAACAGACTAACTCTTAGTCTCGGGATACTTCTTTATCAAATGTTGGAAGAGGTACGATGTTTAAATTTCCTGATAGTTAAAAAAAGGACTTTATCAAATCATTCACATTCAGCTCTTGTTGAGGAAATAGCCAATTCTTCCTAACTGTCATAACATTTTCTACTCTTACCACATTTGTTACCACATTCTCATACCACTTTGTGTGACAGATGAGGTGGACAACCATATCAATTAAAATTAATTTAACATTTGTTCTTTTATGATTTATTGACACTTTTTAATTAATGTGGCTGTCCAATTTATCTACCACATAAGGTTGTATGAGAATGTGATATACAAATATGATAAGAGTTGCATTACTCTTTAAAGCATAGCCGTGGATTGTTTATCTTGTTACACATAATTTCATAATGCAATCGAACTCAGAGATTTGGACTATTTCTTTAGTCCAACCTGCATATCAAACATGGCCCAAAGGACTGGAATTGGACTTAGTGTAAGCGTTACATTACTCAATCCGTAGTCATGGGATATATTTCTGGGGGGACTAAGCCCAAATTAACCAAACTGGCGGCCCAACAGTTGCACTGATTCTAGTCAGATTCAACCTAGAAGATAATTATCTCCAACAGACGTCTTTGAGACAGAGGCCTCGCCTTCTGGCCGGAATCTGGACCCCATGGCTTATGGACTGCGGGCAAGCAGATTGTCCTTTGGTTTAATCTGTTTTTGGTTTCTTTGGTCTATGTATGGTTCATGATTTTGGTATGTGTGGTATTATTTTCTACTCCGAAGTTTTGTCTTACTGAATTCTCTTCGGGATGGTTTTAATGAGGCCATTATATAATATACCGTGTTGATGTACTCTTGATTGTTTGGTCATAATTAAATTTGATCTTCATCTCAAAAAAAAAAGAAAAAAAAAGAAAAAGAAAAAAAAAGTGTCTTAGCAGCTACCTATCTTCAAGGACATCTAAAATTACTAGAAAAAACACAGTAAAATTCCTTCAACATTTGCCATCTTCACATCTTCACATCTTCACATCTTCACATCTTCACATCAGCCCATATCAAGTCCGAGAAATAGTTAAGCAGTCCTTGTACTTGGACCGCAAATTCTCTAGTGAGGACTATTATATGCGGTTCAATCAGAGCTGTTAAGTTTGATATGAACAGCTAAACAGGTAAAGCAAGGTTACACTATAAAATATCGAAGAATTAGGACATGGAAACTGCTAGGACATGATACCTTAAAAAATAATAAATTTACCAACGGGGTCTAGTCCAGTGAAAAGAGTCTTGATTGCAGACTAGAGGTCTCAAATTCGAATCCCCATGACATCATAGTTGTGTATATGTGTGAGAAATCATCTTTCGATGTAATTTATGATTCATCCACATAATCTCAAATACCAAGAAGAAAAGAAAATATAATGAAAACTAAGAAAAAAAAAGAGAAGAAAAAGGTGGCGGAAGTTGCTAGAGAAAGAAAAGGGGTTGATAAGGTAATTGGTATTAGTATAATAGAGTTTCATCAATAATAATTTTAACCTAAGTTTTTTTATATAAAACTTTTCAAATTTGTTCCACAAAAATTTCAAAAATAATGGTGTTTTGATCTCAAAATCACCCATGCCATGTCTTGACCATGAGTTTGTCATGTCGGGGAATGTCTTGACCGTGTCCGAGTGTCTAACACTCCAACACTTTAGCTAATTGAAGTGTTCATGCAACATATAGGTTTTAGAAACCCTAGGGAAATCGAGACCTCTAGTAAGTTTGACCTGAACAACTGAACATGTAAAGTGAGCTTACAGTATAAACATGTCATACCTCTCTATCTTCTCTGCCAGTTTCTCTCTCCCATTAAATTTTTTAAAATTTCACTCCCAAACTTCACCCTCTTGTCAGATAGTTATAACCCAAAAACCCCTAATTTTTCCCAACCATTATAACCCAAATACTCCCAAAGAATCTTATGTTCATCGCCACTGCTCTCAAAGAATCATATTTTCGTTGACTCGGCTATCAAAGAAACCTCTGGAAAGTGAAATGCTCTTGTGTTTTGGCATCGTTGTTGAACTAACTATCAAGTAAGTATTTCCTTGATAACATTCCAGCAATTTCTTCTTTTATTGCCTTGTTTCTAAACATGTTCTTCCTTGAAAGCTATAGAAAGTTAATCACGAGCCTTAAATATTCAAAATCAGTAATCTATATGGAATTTAAGATTGATATTAGAGTTTAAATAAAACATAAACTAGAGGAATCTACACAATGCTTGGAACCTAAACGTGGCGCCTCATGATTGGTTGTTAAAATATTTGCTCCCACAAATACCACCAAATTTTTGCATGGCACATGCGTGGCATGGAGGAGGTGAGAAATATTTATCGGGTTTTCCAACTGCTTCTAGGCTTCCTTTTGGAGTTGGGCTCCTGACTGGAGGAGGCTTTTTATTTCTTTTTAGAAGTTGGGTTCCCAATTGGAATGGGCTTGTCATTCCTTCTAGGTTAAGGATACCCAACTACTATAAATGCAAGGCTTCTCTTCACTCATCTTCATATCGCAAACTTTTTTCTTCTACTTTCTATCTTGTGAGAGAGTTCTTAGAGGATTGTATTGCTTGTCGAGGAGAGGAATTGTTGTGTACACCAAAATAAGTCATGCTTGGTTTTTATTTTTCTTCAAATTTTCTTCATGGCAAGAATTGTCTGGCTAGCCCGGCAAGTTGTCGTCGTGACGCGACGGCAGTGGTGAACACCGGTGGTTGTTGCGAAAAATAAATTTTTTCTGTTGTTCGCGGCAAGGACCAGTTGATGGTTGCTGGCTGGTTGTCGTCGAGATGTCGTAATAGCGCCAAGAGTGATCGGTGGAGGTGATGGCGTCGTCCCCTTTTTCTATTTTTCTTCTCGGCATGAGATGGCATGCTTGCGAGATGGCCATTTACGGGACCAACCTCAATTAGTTGCGCCTAGGTGATGGGAGGAGGCCGGTGCTGTGGTGGTCGTTGACTTCTGCTTGCTGTGGTCGCGACTGTGTGTGTGTGTGTGTGTGTGTGTGTGTGTTTTTTTTTTTTTTTTCACTGTAGCTGTGCTGCAGCTTGGCTTGGGTTGAGGGCTGCGCTGGTGGTTTGGGCCGTGTGGCTCCTTCCGCTTGTTTTTTTTGTTTTCCCATGTTAAAGTTTTTTAGGATGGTGCTTTACTGGAATGTGCTCCAAGCCAGTGTACTCCAAATGTTTATCAGGGGATAATTTCTTTTGACAATTTGAATTGCTTCTTTAAGTTAGGCTTGACAGTGCGAGAGTTCTTTTACTTCTTCGATGTGGGATGTTGCGAGAAGTATGCTCATCTATGTGTGTGCAATGCCAAGTTGTTTGACAGTCTCAACTAAGGAGACCACGTGTGGAATGCTGATGTTTTGGAGGTCTATGGCAAGTTGGAAGATGATGTAGATTACGGTCCAATCGTTCCCATCACCTACTATAATGGTATGTCACAATCTACTAATCTACTTCAATTTTACTTGAATTTTTTTTATGTGTGGATGACTGATTTCTATCTTCTCCTTACAGTTAAGGATATCACCAAAAAGCTTGATCTTGGACCAGGCATGGCTAAGGTTCGTCTGGCTTTAAACATCTCCGTGAGGTTTTACGAATGACGCTGAAGGCTAAGCGAGCATCGAAGGAAGGCTAGTGGCCTGCCCCTGCCAGGGACATTGAAAGGTGAAAGTAGTATGACCCCGACTCGAATAATCAACCTAACGAATAGGAGGATTCCTCGACTAAAATTTCTGGAAAGAGGAAGGTGGCTCTTAAGCTTTCCAAGGATGAAGTTGCATCCTCACGAGTCAGGAAGCGTCCCCAAGAAGCCTCGTCTTCCTTCCGTTGTGGTAAAGCCTTTTCTACGAAGGAGGTCTCGTCTGCTCAGAAGTCTCAGGTAAAAGGTGCTCTTTCATCGTCTACTAAAGTCAAGCATGTTGTGGGCATTGATAGCAAAAAGGCGTATGACATGCGAGATAATAGGGATCCCATGCCTAAGTCTTCGGCTGAAAAGTCAAAGACTGTGATATACTTTATAAGGATACTGGTGCCAAGCTTGATTCTCTTGCTGAGCAGCGAAGAGCAATTGATCTTCCTCGTAAGAGTTTGAATTGTCTACATCGATCTAAGGAGGATAACTGAACTGAGAAAGTTGCTTATTCACTTGGCAAGCGTGTGCCATTTTCTGAAATACGAGAGACGAAGGGTGGAGCTGGTCCAGCCTCATTAACTCCCTTTGAAGCGAGAATGGCGACAACGCATGTGGCAAAATAGTCATATGCTCAAGCTAAAGGTTGCGATGATTTACCCAGGAAGACTAAATCTAACCATGCTAGGGATATGTCTCCACATGATCTACTTAAGAGTAACCTTTTGAGAGGTTCGTCTACTTGTGTTGATGATCTCGGCACCTTTTCAAGTCTTTCTCCAAAAGAGTAGAAGAGTGAAGCTCTTACTTTATTTAAAAAATGAATGACTTACGCCACTGAGGTCATCCGGAGCTCATCCACCGTTACTCCTTTTTCGGACCTTGAAGAGCTGGAGAAGAAGAATGTCGCCTTGACTGATCTGCTCTCAATCGAACGAAAGTAATTTGAGACTAAAATTTCGAACTTGAAGAGAAATTTGTTCCTACTGGAGAATTCCTTCGCACTAAAGGATGAGGAATTTACCTCTACTGCTATTGCCTTTGTGATAAAAATGAGGGTTATGATTGTCTTGATCATGAGTTTACTAACATGATCCATAGCTATGATTAGCTGCTAGACAAGTTCAAATCCCACCAAAAAACTGCTAAAGCGCCTAAGTCTGAAGCAGTCGTTGATGCTTATAAGCCGTGTTGCTTAGACTGCAAGAGAAAAGTTGCTTCATATCATCCCCATTGAAGATGGAGATATAGAGTTGTTCTGCCCAGAAGTGCCCCTTGCTCAAGGTGAACAGGTGACTGCAATTGATGATGAGTAGGTAGCTAAGGTGGATCAAGTCTAGAAGGGCGCAGCTGATGAGGTGGTCGAGGCAATTGAGCTTGCGACTGAGGTTGATGAGCTAGTAGTTGCTGCCGGTGAGCAAGTGGCTAAAACTGATGAGTAGGTGGTCGAGCAGGATGGAGCCGAGGAGGCTGTAGCTGATTATGCCAAAGATGATGAGGTAGCTAATCCTGAATCACTTTGCAATAATTGGCCTCGATTGACAATTTTTTTTTGTTGGACTCAGCCAATTGGTCACTGTGCTATGAAAATTTCAATCATTTCTTTGGGTGATGTCCTACGTCTCCTTCTGGAGGATGTAGCTGATTACGCCAAGTCTAATAATTTTAGGAAAAAAGCTAGATAAAATAGAAACAAAATTTGATAAAATACTTACCCAAGAAGTGAACCCCAAACCTAAGAAAGAAAAACCTTTAGTCAAATTCCAAGACCTAAAACCTAGTCAAACACTTAAGACAACCCCCACAATGAAGAAAATAGAAGAAATGCTTGAACAACTAACACTAGTCAAAGAAAAACCCACTAAAACAAAGTCATCCTCTACCCTTAAAGTCATCCAAGCAAATGAAGGTCATCCCTTGCTCTTGAATCCAATAGACACAGAGTCACCCCTGGACACTGATACTGATTCTAGTAATATATCAAAAATAGAAAACGCCTTTAATGTTTTAAAACTCAGTAGACTAAGGAGTAAAATAAATCCCACTAGTTTAACAAATAATTGGTATCCTAAACAAACTCCCCCAGATATCCAATTCGGAGAAAGAAATTTTCAAAGTCAATTCTCAGTCTCTTCTGATAAACTTTATGAGTGGAATATAGATGGCCTGTCTGATCAAGAAATTATGAATAAATTGCAGCACATGTCTATGGTCGCCAATAGTTACATCACTAATCACAACCTTAGACAGTCAGAAATAGTGCCCCTCTTAGAAACAGGATTTACAGGAATTTTACATTCTTGGTGGGATAAACATCTCACAGAAGAGTCAAAACGACAAATAATATGTGCAGTAAAACTAAATGAAGATGGATTCCCTATATTTGATGAAAATGTCAACATGGGAATTGAAGATGAAGTCAATACCTTATTATACACAATAATTGAACATTTCATAGGTACAGCTAGTAACAATAAAGCCATAATTCATGATTAGCTTAGCAACCTTAAATGTCCCAAGTTAAGTGATTTCATATGGTACAAAGATGTCTTTATATCTAGAGTCGTGCTAAGAGATGACAGTAATCAACCATTTTGGAAAGAAAAATTCATTAATGATCTTCCCAATCTTTTCGCACACAAAATACGAACAGTTCTAAGTAATGATCAGGGTCACATAGATTTTGATAGTTTAACTTATGGAAATATTATCAGTACAATTAACCAAGTAGGAATGAAAATGTGTGTTGACATGAAAATGTATGGTTTAGCATATATTCCTCTATCCAAAAAAGTCAAGCATAAGAATTATGACCAAAACAGTCGAACTAGACATTACACTAGAAAACGACAATCCTTCAAAAATGATAATGAATTTTATAGTAAAAACAAGTTTAACCCAAAGAGAAAGAATTGGTCAAAAGTACCCAAAAAAGATACAAAAGACAAATTTAAAAAGAACACCAACAAAAGAAAAGTTGAGTGCTGGAAATGCAAAAAACATGGTCATTATGCTAATGAATGTAAAGTTAAAGACACAATCAAACAATTAAAAATCACATACGAAGAAAAAGCCCAATTAATTAAAGTATTAGAATTAAGAAACTTTGAGTCTAGTGAAATTGAGACCTCAGTAACAAGCTCAGCAGACTATAGTTCCTCAGATTCCCAATGAAGTTCCCCAAAAATCCAATTTGGTTGTGAAGATAATTGTTGTAATGTCTTAACTAAGTCAATAAACGTCCTTACAAAACAAGAAGAGCAATAAGAATTATTAATTGATTTAATTAGTAAAGTAGAAAATCTAGAATTAAAATAAGAATATTTAAAGAAATTAAGAAAAGTCATTAGTCAGGAAGAAATGAGTCAACACATCTCCCCGAAAATAAGTCTAAATACTACCTTAGAAAAATTCAACAAAAGAAAAAAAGTCGCTTTACAAGACTTACTACTTGAAGTAAAAATCATCAAATAGAAAATCACTGAGTTAAAACAGTCTAACTGACAATTACAAAGTGATAATGTTGAAATCAAGCAAGACCTGGTTAATATACTAGAAAAAATAGAACCTAACAACAATGGTAAAAGATAGTTTGAAGACCAATCTGAAGATGAACATGAACATGAACATTCAAGTATTGACAAAGCTATTAATTTAATCAAACAATTAAGTTTCCGTAAATGGTATTCAAAAGTCAGTATTTATATCAACAATTTTGAACTAAAAACAATAGCTGTGTTTGACTCAGGAGCCGACCTTAATTGCATTCAAGAGGGATTAATTCCCACTAAATATTACAGGAAGTCAAAAGAATTTTTAGGAACAGCCTCTGGTAAACCACTGCACCTTAAATATGAAAGTCCTAAAGCCCATTTATACCAAAATAAAATATGCTTTAAGACATCCTTTGTCCTAGTCAAAGACATAACTGATGAAGTAATTTTAGGATTACCATTTATTGCCCTACTCTACCTTTTTAGTGTAGGATATGATGGAGTCACCTCTATCGAAAAGGTTAAATTCGAATTTTTAGACAAGTCAGAATTACAAATGTTAAAAGCTCTAAAAAGAAAATATGCAGTCTCCAAAGCAGTCAACTTCCTTAAAGAAGAAATAACCTTTAATAGGATTGAACAACAGCTTGCAAATGAAAACTTGCAACTACAAGTAAAAAAATTTGAAGAAAAGTTAAAACAAGAAGTTTGTTCTGACCTACCTAATGCCTTCTGGCATAGAAAACAACATGTAGTGAGTCTTCCTTACGTCAAAACCTTTAATGAGAACCACATTCATAGCAAGACCAATCCAAATAAGTGAAGAAGTCATGGAATTTTGCAAAAAAGAAATTGTAGACCTACTTCATAAAGGAATAATATGTAAAAGCAAGTCACCATGGTCCTACCCAGCCTTTTATGTTCAAAAAAATGTTGAGCTAGAAAGAGGAGCACCCAGATTAGTCATTAATTATAAACCCCTTAATACTGTTTTAGAATGGATTAGATATCCAATTCCTAATAAAAGAGATTTAATTAATAGACTAAGTAGTGCAGTCATATTTTCTATGTTTGACATCAAAAATGGATTTTGGCAGATACAAATCCAAGAAAGCGATAGGTACAAAACTGCTTTTGTCACCCCTTTTGGTCATTATGAATGGAATGTCATGCCTTTTGGCCTAAAAAATGCCCCTAGTGAATTTCAAAATATAATGAACAAGATTTTTAATCCTTTTAGTGAATTTTCCATAGTCTCAATAGAACAACATTGGAAACACTTACACAAATTCCTACAGACAGTCAAGAAAAATGGTCTAGTTCTTTCAGCCAAGAAAATTAAGTTATTCCAAACCAACATCAGATTTCTTAGATTCAATATCCATCAGCCATAGATCAATCCAATTGTTAGAGTCATCCAGTTTGCTGACAAATTCCTTGATGAAATTCTTGATAAAAGTCAACTCCAAAGATTCTTAGGTTCTCTCAATTACGTTGTTGATTTCTATCATAATCTATGAAAACAATGTAAACCCTTATTTGATAGACTTTAAAGTAATCCTCCTCCCTGGATCCCCAGTCACACAAAAATTGTCGAACAAATCAAAATTCATGTTAAGACTTTGCCTTTTCTTGGTATTCCTCAGTCAATTCTTTCAAAATTATTGAAACCGATGCCTCTGAAATTGGTTATGGAGGTATCCTCAAACAAAGAGTCTCTCCCAGTCAAGCAGAGCAAATAGTTAGATTCCATTATGGAGTCTGGACTTAGTCACAAAGTAATTATAGTACTATTAAAAAAGAAATTCTATCTATTGTATTATGGATTTCGAAATTTCAAGATGATTTACTTAATCAAATTTTTTTAAGATTGTAAAAGTGCCAAACATGTTTTAGAAAAAGTTGTTCAAAATATTGCATCTAAACAAATTTTTGCACGATGGCAGGCTATTCTAAGTATTTTTTACT